TAATGCACAAAATCATTGAAAAAAAAACAGTGTCGACCGGCAGCCTGTCAGCGTCAGTCGGAAATTTTGAGTGCTGCCAATAATGTGATTTTTTTTTTTGTGGCGTTTAAATCAATTAATCAATCATTTAAGAACGTATATGCATAGAAATAATATATAACGAAACATAAAGCATCAAATACTGTAAGCTTTAATAATATTACGAAAATTATAATAAAATTTGGCAGTATATTAATATTATCGAAAATCTTCTTTTCTTCTTTTTTTCAATACCGTATACACTGTAATATGAAAATAATAAAATCCTTTGGTTTGATTATCAACATAAAAATTCGTTTGTTTCAAATAGATAAACCAAAATATATATTATGAATCTTAAAACATTATTATTAACTTACACAAACCTATTAAAATTCACTGTTTTGTTTGTTTCAAATAGATAAAACGAAATATATGAATCTTAAAACACTTATCAACTTACACACACCTAATAAAATCCACTGTTTTGTTCACAAACTCATCGCAGTATTAATGCCATTGAATTGCTTAACATCACGTTAATTAATTTGCAGCATAAAGACCTGATAATACAACACGATTATCAAAATATGATTGCATAGGCCTATATAAGGCCACGTAAAATAAAACAATTGGTTAGCATCCCCGCCCGACCGTCAGAAAAGCCCCCGACATGAATTTTTTTTTATTTTTTATTTTTACAAAACACTCAAAACTCCATCTCCCGAAGGCAATTTATATAGGCCTAGGCTTGTTTACCATCCGTCCGAACGCCAGCCGACTGGGCTTATCCCTGCAGTTTCATTCCATCATCGTCCCGTCTAGGCCTAGTCCTTGCTTCTATCTAGAAAAGGCCTAGTTTTATAGTAGTAGTATAAAAAGAGTGTATTTGTATACGCGGTAGAGCCGATGCAAAGCATTAAGATTTACTCGGGATTAGGTTTATATTAGCAAACTAAACTCCGATCCGATGCTTACGTCTCATGCTTTGTGCAGAAAAGCCGAGTCGGCCAATCAGCGCGTTGGTATTTCCATCACTTTGGAAGTAGACATCCACAGCAGCGCGAAATAGAAACAAGGAGGAACCGCTCTCTGTGTGGTGACCGGAGACAAGACAACAAACATGGCTGCGCCCATCAGTTTAAAACTGTGGCATGTTCACTTCTTACCTGTGTGCAATATTTCACGAAATGAAATTTTAAAGATAAATTTTCATAGGTAGGACAGCATAGATAAATTATTACTGGAAATATAGTGGCAAGATAGTGCATGCGTATATTAGCGAGCGAGCCGTCCGGTCGTCTTTTGGACGAATTGTTGCCTACAATTATTTAGGAAGGCAACTTTTACCGTGACGGCTTGGACGG